AGAAAACAGCATAAATTAAAAACGGGCTCTGGCTGAAAAACGAGGGATTTTACCGGACTCGGTCTGCTGAAAAAACATAATTTTAACTGACGTGGCAGACAAGTGTTTTGTGATATTTAATGAACTGCGGTGCCATTTAAAACGTTGCTTAGAGGTTACTGGCTCGTTCTGTGTGGGGAATGTGTGAAGAGAGACAGCTGTGAGATCAGCTGATCTAACAGTCTCAGATGAAAACTTTACTTTCAGAGGTGTTTCAGAAGTGTTTTTGTTTTATATCAAAAACATACATCATCAAAAAACACATACATTCCCCTCAAGGATCTGTTACCTGATGGAGGGGGCCGGCGGAGGAACGGGGCGTGAAGTCGCTGCCACAGCTGTGGAGCGCCTCTGCTACTGTTGCTGGCCAAGGCAGTCTCTCCAGTGGCCAGAGGGGCGAGAGGAGGACTGTGACGTCACCAGATGGTGTACAGTCTCTGAGACCTCCTCGGACCTCTGCGATTTCTCAAGGATGGTCCTGAAGTTGGCCACGAACAGCGCCTCTAGGGTGATGGGGCCCTCCAACAGGTCTTTCTGCAGCCTCTCGGACAAGGATGGCAAGAGGCGGAGCCAAGTAGTCCTCTGGATCATGGTCATCCAGGCGGCGATGTGGGACAGGCAGACCGCAGAGGTGGAACATGTTTAAGATGACATCAGCAGCTTTACAGAGAGAGCTTTGTCTCCTCCAGCAGGTCTGCTTCTTCCAGCCTCTTAGAGATGCTGTAGGCCAGCAGGGTGACATTGTTGTTCGCTGCGGCCATCTGGAATGAGCACTGGTGAGCTCGGTTGGAGACCTTGTCACCATCTGGTCATGCATCCATGGAGGGACAGGTTGCTGGTCCATCCTGGAAGCTTTTGCCCCAAGTGCCACCGCCAAGCTTGTCTCCAGGGGGGCGACTGAGGGAAAAACACAGATCGGTAAAACCCTCCACTCTGGAGATGGAGGCGAAGGTGGAGACAGATGTCTTCAGCTTGCCGGGCCCAGCTGCAGCCTCGTTCCAGTTTGACATTACAGCTGGACAGCGGGGCCAGATGGGGTCAGGGCGACGAGCCGGGGCAGAGCCAACCTTGCCGCCAGATCATCCGATCAGGGCAGAGGGAGGATAGGGACGGAAAGTCCCTTGTGTTAACATCCTCCTGGATTATGCCGGGCAGCTCCGAGAGGAGGGCGCAGACGGCTGGGAGCGGTGTGATCGCCGATGTGGGAAGATTCGAGGTGGCTGAGCATTCGCTCAGCCACTCATCTTCCGTCACTACACTCTCCAGGAGGGAGGGGGCAGCATCGCATCGCCTTTCTCAGAGGAATCATTCTATTCACTGCGTGACTCTGCGTCAAAGAAGGTGGTGGCGTCGTCCCACACATAGGGTCCCGCCACAGAAAAAAAACACTCAGCGGAGCTGCTGCCAACAACGCCTTTTTCGAGGGAATCCTCCGATTCACTTTGAGAAAAAAAACACGTTAGAAAAGGCGGTGGCATCGTCCAGCGAGTAGCGGCCCTCCACGGAAAAACATTCAGTGGGGCTGCTGCTAACATCGCCTTTTTCAAGGAAATCATTTGATTACCGTGAGGAAGAAACTTTAGAATTGGCGATGGTGTCGTCCAGCGGGTAGCGGCCCGCCACGGAAAAGCACTCCTCGGCGCTTACCTTGAACAAGGCTGCTCATCTCTGCTTCTCCTTGGGGAGGAAGAGCTCACCGCGATGGCAGGAGGTTGGCGTGGCGGAGACCCAGGCATCCTTAGCAAAGGTTGTGCCAGTCAAACCTGGACAACTTTTCCTTCTTGGATTTTCTGATAGTGCTAGCTAGCTGGCTGAAAAAAAATGGGAGCTGATTACCTGGTCTCACCGTAATTTATACGGACCGGGGATGAGGCCCACACAGTAGGTGGGCGTGGACAAAAGTTTTCAGTGCTGCGCACGTAGGGATAAACCCACTAGCGATAGCCTTAAAGGGTGAAGCATATACGAAATAGAACATGTCCATAACACATGATGTTACTGTTAGTAGTTTTGAAATTGGTGATAATGTGTTTTCATACGACATGCCAGTCCTGTTTGAGTTCACATCCCCCAGTCTAACTCCTAAGCCATGCACTCCTGCATGTCACAGCTGGGCCATTAACCACCTCACTGCTGCGCATTTCACAGATGTCTTTAACTCGAAAAAGATCAATCAGCCCCCACCACCACTGATGAGCTAACCTCCCAGTTCAACTCTGTCTGCTTAAAGGCTCTGGATCAAGTTGCTCCTGGAAAAACCAAAAAAACAAAACTCAGATCAGAAATTTGGCTGAATGACGTCACCAAGGCTGTTAGACAGCAGTGCAGGAGGGCAGACAGCAGGTGGAAGAAAGACAGGCTGCAGGTCTCTTTTTAAATACTAAAAGAGAGTTGGCTTCGTCATCAGAAAGCAGTAAAATCTGCTAAATCTAAATACTTTTGTAATATAATTGCCTCAAACTCTCACAATCCACGTGTCCTCTTCTCTACCCTAAACTCAGTTCTTCACCTCACTGAGCCTTCACCTCTGGAAGCCTCAACTGAGCTATGCAAGAACTTTCTACATTTCTTTTTAGAAAAAGTTGCCAACACCCGGGCTCTCATTTCCCCTCCAGCTCATGATCTGTCCATCCCATCCCAATGTGTTGCTGTATTTGACCGTTTTGAGCCAATCTCTTTGTCTTCTCTAGAGCAGGTAACGTGCAGCATGAAACCATCTGGTTCCCCCTTTGATGTGCCCCCCCACCCCCCCAATTACTAAAGGAGGTTTTTCCTACTCTGGGTCCTTCTATTCTCGCTATTGTGAATAGCAGTTTATCCTCAGGGGTGGTGCCAAAAACCTTTAAGCATGCTGCTGTTCAATGCTTTAAAACCAAACCTTGACCCCTCAGTCGTGTCCAACTTCCGGCCTGTCTCCAGACTCCCATTTGTTGCTAAACTACTGGGAAAAATAGTTGAGTCTAGTTAAAATGCTTCCTAGAGGATCACACCATCTTAGAGCTATTCCAATCTGGCTTTAAACCTCTCCACAGCACTGAAACTGCTCTACTGAATGTTTTTAACAACATCTTCCTATCCACAGACGCTGGTGATTCTGTGCTCCTTGTCTTACTGGACCTTACATCTGCTTTTGACACCATTGACCATGAGATTTTCATTGCTTGGTTAGAGAAGTTGGTGGGCATCACAGGGGCTGCCCTCAAATGGTTTAGATCCTACCTCGCTGACAAATCCTTTTGTCTCCATCAAAGATTTTAGTTCAGCATCAGCAGCACTTAAATGGGGGGTACTGCAGGGGTCCGTCCTCAGTTCCCTTCTATTTTCTTTATACCTGCTGCCACTAGGTGCTATTTTCCAGAAACACAACATACCCTTTCACTTCTACGCCGATGACTGTCAAATTTACTTCCCCCTAAGACACAATGGTACACGCTCTATTCAACCTCTGCTTGACTGCCTGGCTGACATCAGAGACTGGATGGCTTTAAATTTCTTAAGTTTCAATGAGAAGAAATCTGAAGTCATGTTGTTTCCTCCCAACAACACAATCATCAACCACTGCATCGACCTTTCCGCTCTAGCCCAGTTAGAGAAACAAAGAGTCACTAATCTGGGAGTGATAATGGATCCTTCTATGAAACTTAACAGTCATGTAAGCATGATTGTTAAATCCTGTTTTTTGTAGCTGAGGCGGCTGTCTAAGCTGAAGCCCATATTGTCCAAAAATACCTTGGACAATAAATCATGCATTCATAACATCCAGGCTGGATTACTGCAACTCGCTCCTGTTTGGTATCGGTCAGACCTCCATTACTAGACTACAACTGGTCCAGAATGCGGCAGCCCGATTTTTAACCAGTACAGGCAAAAGAGAGCATATTACACCAGTTTTGACCTCCCTGCACTGGCTACCGGTTCAACTTTTAATCCAGTTCAAAATACTCTTGTATGTCTATAAATCACTGAACAGCTCTGACCCCTCCTATCTCACTGATCTGCTGCAGCCATATGTCCCACCGCATTCTCTGAGGTCAGCGGACCAGTTGCTTCTCACAGTTCCAGGAACCCATCTTAAGCGCAGAGGTGACAGGGCCTTCTCTGTCGCAGGCCCAAGACTATGGAATGAGTTACCTCTGCTTGTCAGACAGGCCCCCTCCCTCACTGTTTTTAAATCTCACTTAAAAACCAACTATCATTCCCTGGCTTTCAACACTGCATGATCTGTGTTGAACCTGTATGCATCACACTGTGTTAGGCATTATGCTATTATCTGCTATTATTTTGTTTCTATATTTTGATTTTACGTTATGTTATATGTTGCTGTGTGCTCTGCCTGTTTGTTTCTGTTTGTACAGCACTTTGGTTGGCCCTGTCACTGATTAAAGTGCTTTATAAATAAAATAGTATTGTACAGTATTAAAGCTACATGTCTTCCGGGAAGGTCCAGTTGTTTTAGAAGAAGAGAGCTCATTCTGCCTGACTTCACAGAATCACAGTGTGGGTCCACGACTGAGCTGCCAGCTGTTCAGACTGATGTTTAAATCCCATCATGACAGTAAATCAGATAATGACGACCACTACAAACTTTTAACACAAAATAAAGTTCTGAATTCACAGAACGGACAAAAAGTTTTCATGCACAATTGCAACAATCATCCCGAACCATCAAAATGTTTTAATTAAACCAACAGAGAGGTAATACACATCTTCACAGGCCTTTTTGTAAGAAGATTGTTGGAAACAAACTGAACATGTTCAGAGCAGCAATGATTCATTAAGTAACTCAAATCATCACAACATGAAGCAAAAACTTTTATTTTGAATTGCGTCTTTAATATTTCTGCATATGTTATCATTATGTGCTCCTTTTGACTTATTTATATTGTACTGTTGTATTTATTTAACAATAAAAGAGTTTTTTGCATCCATCCCTTCATAATATATGTTTCAAAACTCCAAACCTGGCGTCCAGTTCCCTTTGATGCCTGCAGACTGCAGCGCCCCAGGCTGCCGTTTGGCGTGGTGCCACAGCTGCTGATGATCTGCAGCTGTTTCTCGGCTCGGTCGGCCCGGTCCAGAAGCTCCTCAATAAACTGCTGCAGCCGGACCTTAGCATTGGCCTCACGTGCCGCCGTCTCCTGGAGGAAGTGGTCGATTTGGGCAACCTCACTGCAGACGTACAGAAGAGAGGAAGCAGAAGTAATGGGATGTTCTTAAATTAGATTTAAAAGTCTGGGGGATAAACCACAGAAACACCAACATAAATACAAAATAAAATATGTTACGTCACTATGGGTGCAGAGTTGTTCTTTTGAATAAGGAACAGCTGGAAGGACAAAAACTTTCATCTTTTTGACTCAATGTTTGTCTGCTGTTCATTTGTTAAGAAATGCTTTGTTTAAATAAAAAGCTGGATCATCTTATTTACTTTACATTTACTTCTAAATCAATTCAACTTTATAAAAACATACAAAGACATCCTTTGTGTTTCCTCTAGTCAATAGTCCAGTCATAAAACCACCTGAGAAAATTAAATGAGCCAATAGAATGTTTTTACTGAAGAAACGGTTTTAAAGTGTGATCCTGTGCGGTTAAATGGCTTGTTGTTCATAGGATAAGTCCAGTCGGTCATCATTTGGGTCTTTTAGTCAAACTAAGACAAAAGAGTCACTTAACGAAGAAATTTCCCTGAATAGAGGATAGTTAGAGGTAAAGATAGTTTCCACGTCTGGCGCAGAAACATTTTCTCGTCTCCAGGAAAAAACAACAAAAAGCTGAATCTGAACGAATTAAACTGAAAGTCTCAGAATGAGAGATCAGAGGACCCACCTGAAACAGGCCAACACAGTTATTAATAAATGTGAGTGAACTTACTGAGTGTGGGTTTTTATGTAAATATAACTGACTGATGGAAATGAAACGTAACTTGTGGAATGATGGAACAGTAACTTTAATCTTTTCAAAGGCAAGAATGTCTAAAAGCAGCAGTTCTTAACACGACAACACAAGTCCACGTTTCGGCTTCAATCACATCTGAAGACCCAGGTTTCTCCAGCTTCAAGATATTTCCAAAGAATTAATGGACTTGTTAGACGCATGGTTGGAATGGTCAAACAAATCCAACTGCTTCTTCAACATTTCACTTTGAGTTGTTTAAAGTTAAAAGCTAGGTTTAAAAGTAACAATGAGCTGAAAGTGTGAGGCTGCAAGAAGATTTAATTTCTAGATTTGATTAAACAAACTTCTGATTGGCAGACGACCACCTGACACACAGATATCATCCCCACCCCTTTAAACACACAATCTTCAGTTTGCAGAGGATCTACAGAAGGATGATGCTTTTAACCTTCTGATAAATAAAACTAACACAGCAGAGTAAACAAAAAGGCCTCATATGTACAGAAGACAATGTTTCAGTCATCTGCGGGTCAGTGTGGATAGTTTTTACCAAACTTCAGACTCATTTGTCTTCATGGAGGAATACATGTTTTCTTCGTAGACAGTCTGTGCAGTCAGTTAATGGTCTGAAGCTGTCTCTGCACAGCTGATAAGACAAATGTCTTCAGGTTGAGTTGAAAGAAAAAAAATCAATAATAATTATAATAACACCTGTAAAGTAGCGTCGCACTGAGCTGAGCATTTTTTAGACTAGTTGGAGGCACAAGAAAATACACGAATCTTCCCATAAAATTACTCCAATTACTGTGAAACTACTGCAAAATGTGGGCCCGAATTCAGGCTATTAGTGAAGAAATGTAAAACATTTGAGAATTTTTTTTAAGCACGTTAAAAATGGACTTGTGACCTGTCCAGCTGTCCCCCACCTCTTGCACAGTGACTGCTGGACACCAGTGACCCCCGCAGCTCTGAAAGGAAGAAGCGGGCAAAGATGATGGATGGATGATGAATGGATGATGGATGTACGATGTATGAAGGATGGATGGATTAAGGATGACTGATGGATGTATGTATGATGGATGAATGGATGATTGATGGATGATGTATGATGGATGTATGATGTAGGATGGATGATGGATGGATAGATGATGGATGGATGATGGATGGATGGATTGATGGATGATGGATGTATGATGGATGTATGGATGGATGTATGATGGATGGATGGATGGATGAATGGATGATAGATGGAAGGATGCAGGATGTATGACGGATGAATGATGGATGATGATGGATGGATAATGTACGATGGATGATGGCTGGATGAATGATGATGGATGGATTTATGTATGATGGATGGATGATGAATGGATGATGGATGGAAGGATTATAATAATACTTTATTTATAAAGCCCTTTAAAACAACCACAGCTGCAACAAAGTGCTGTACACATAAAATCAAGAAAATGTAAACACATAACAATAAAACAATTGTTAAAACATTATGATCAACAAAAGCAATAAAAACGGTGCAGAGCATATTCAGTCTGTGCTAAAAGCCAGGGAGTAAAAATGTGCTTTTAAAAGAGTTTTAAAACTGAAGAGTGAAGGGGCTCGTCTGATGAGAAGAGGGAGCTCGTTCCAAAGTCTTGGAGCAGCAACAGAAAAAGATCTGTCCCCTCTGAGCCTCTGTTTGGACCTCGGCACCTCCAGGAGCAGCTGATCAGTGGCACTGAGCAGGAGAGCATGGGTGGGGCTCAGAGAGGTAGGATAAGGCAAGACCATTTACACTTTTAAAAACAAATAAAATAATCTTAAAATGAACTCTACAATGAACAGGCAGCCAGTGGAGTGAAGCCAGAGTGGGGGTGATGTGCTCCCTCTTTTGAACTCCAGTTAGAAGCCGAGCAGCAGCGTTCTGGACCAACTGGAGGCATCTGAGGGAGGACTGGCTGACTCCAAGGTAACATGTCTTAATTAATTATTCAGCTGTTTCAGTTTTGTCTTCATGAGGATAAAGAGGATGGACCAGCAGATGAAGTCTCTCCTTCTCTGAAAACAGCTGACTGTAAACTGAGGAGCACCTTATTAATAAAACTGACAAAATCCATCTATCCATCATCTTTACCTGCTTCTTCCTTTTCAGGTCACGGGGGTCACTGGTGCCCATATCCAGCAGTCACTGTGTGAGAGGTGGGGGACACCCTGGACAAGTCTCCAGTCCATCACAGGGACACATTGAGACAAATGAGACAAACAACCATTCACTCTCTCACTCACACCTAGAGACAATTTAGAGTTACCAATCAGCCTAACATGCATGTTTTTGGTCTGTGGAATGAAACTGGAGTACCTGAGAAAACCCATGCATGCACGGAGAGAACATGCAAACACCACCCAGAAAGGTACCGGACCAGGATTTGAACCGGCGACCTTCCCACTTGGAGGCAACAGCTCTATCAACTGAGCCACCTGACAAAATATAAAACAGATAAATCCATGCAGGGATTAACTGTGAGCACAAACATTACCGTCTGCCTTTGCCTTTCTGCTGCTAAAAACATGATGAGACACAGAGGACTGTAGACGGTCAGACACAGAAAAATAAACTCTATGCAGTCGCTAAAAAGCTAAAACAAGAATCTGAAGCCATGTGAACACAGAAAGAATAGACGTTTGACACACACACACACACACAATACACTCAGGTGTGAAACACACCTTTGTGTTGACGGTTTCTTGTCACGGACCACAGTCTTTTCTGATTGGTACAAACGCATTGTCCAATGTCGTTTACAAATAATAATAATAATAATAATAGTCCTCACAAAACATAAGTGTGACTTTACTTCACAAGTTCCTCTGTAAACTGTAAGAATAATATATCTGATGTTCTGAAAATTACTTGATTCTCCTGATGCATGCTCAGTAATCTGAACTTGACCTTCCTCAGACTGAAGGAGACTTTTGGATAAAAGACGAAACGTTTCAACAAATAAGAACCCATCCAGAGGACCTGACTCCACCTGGTCATATCCTGTCATGCGTTGTCCTGTCATGCCATAACACAGGTAGTCATGTCTATGTCTAATATCTCTATATTGGGATGTCCCACAGTAGCTGCTACACTTTACGATCACAGCTGATCTCTCTTGCCGACTTCCTGTCCAGGATTTGACATCAGCCATGTTGCAGTAATGCTGTTGTACAGTGGTCAGAATGTTGTGATGCAATTCGTCAACATGTCTGAAGGATTTTGGATACAAAAGGAGAGTGCTTCAGTAATAGGTCATCAAACGGCAACAGGTTGCTGAATCATAAATAATGTTAATAGTTGCTAGAGCTGTCATTTCTAACCCGGGCCCAAAGCCCGGCCCAAATTTGGGTCGGGCCGTAATAATGTGCTGGATGGGCGGGACGGGTCGGTGTCGGACTTTTGATTGCATCTGCGGATGTGTGCGGCTGGCGATCCAATTATATGACAACATGTCTTACCATACTTCCAATTATATGGTAACATAGCTTGCCATACATTCACCAGCTGCACACCATTTCACCGCGAGCTGACCGGCCTTGAAAAAGGTAAGAAAAGTTCAGTTAAGCTTCAGATGTGACTATACTGCCAGGAAGCGATCCATCGCCCAAATGGACATTCATTCAGCCGCTGCACTCAGCGGACGCACGCGGCCGACGATCCAAACAGGTGAGATCCCAAAATATCTGACATGTCAGAGCAGGGTCCATGTCTGAATAATGCGGAATGCGGGCAGAAGTATGGATTTAATGCGCTTTGACGGCCATGAAAGGACAAACACCCCCTCAGTTCCGATCTTCTGCTCCTTTTATGCCCTAACGTCTGCCGACCATTAATAACTATATAAGCAGTCAAAGCTTTATTAAAAATGTTGGGGGGGGGGGGGGGGGGGGGGGGGGGGGGGGGGTCTGGTTTGGACCTGTAATCACTGTTAATTTGTCCGGTCGGGTGGTGTTTGGAAATGATGACTACAGGCTGGGGCCGGGTTGGGTCAGATTTTTTAGGCCCGAATGCAACTCTAATAGTTGCACTTTTATTTATTAATTATTAACATTTATTTAACCAGCAAATCCCACTGAGCTCACCAACCCCTTTTGGAAGGGAGGCCTGAGCCTGACGGCAGCCTCACAGGCAGGTTGTTGGACAGTGGCTAACGCTAAGCTCGAGATCGATGAGCATTTCTATCTGTCCACCATCTGAAGGTGAGTCACAGAAACGTTGTTCATTCCTTCAAGGA